GGTTCACAGGCCTCTTTCGATGTGGGAAGAGCTGTCGACTTAGGTGGATAAACTATCTTCGACCCGACATTAAACGTGGTCCTTTTAGTCCCGATGAAGAGAGCACGATTATTCGACTTCACGAGTCAATTGGCAACAAGTAATCACATTACATTTTTTAGTAAATTGTCAAAAAAAACACACGTGTTTTGTAACATTCGTGAACTCTAGGTGGGCCGCCATAGCCTCGCACTTGCCGGGAAGAACAGACAACGATGTGAAGAACTTTTGGAACTCTCACTTGCGAAAGCGCTTTAGCAATAATAATAATAATAAAAATGTCGACTCAAAACCGAACTCTCCCCTAACCCGCCACATGGCGCAATGGGAGAGCATCCGCCTCGAGGCCGAGTCGCGCCTCTCGGCAAAGACTGCGAATGTGGGCCCGCAGGGCGGTGATTACTACCTAAACCTGTGGAACTCGGAAATCGGGACCTCCTTCCGGAAGGTCAACGAGCTCGAGTTGACCGGTTGTTCACAGATGTCGTCGTCGGTCAAGAAAGTCAACGCGTGCAGTATGAAGGAGGCGGATGATGTGGCGGCTCGTTCGGACATGACTTCGGATCAGACAATGATGCTGCAGGATGACTCTCCAGATGCTATGATGAAGCTGCTGCTCGATTTTCCGGTTGAGGACGATTATGATGACATGGCATTTTTTCAGGGAGCCGACATTTAGATTGGCTCTTGTTATGTATATGAATTTGGAGAGTTAGTAGCAGACTAGCAGTTCTCTTCAACATCATATACAGTAACTAAGCATTAAAAAGAAAAAAAGAGAAAAAAAAAAAAGAACGTGAAGTTTTTTTATCTTGTTTGATTTAACTAGTTTGTGTAGTTTGTGGACCTTTAAGTGTAACTGCAAATCTGGTCTTATAAAACCCTCTTTTTATATTTGTACTGTTACAGTCTTGTGTTTTTGTGTTTGTGCATTGCTTTTTTTGTGTATCTATGTCTGTTTNTTCAAATCTGAGATTCTTTTTGTTGCAACAAGTAGAATAAAATGATAAATTAGTATTCTCCCACAATGTATCTCTCTACAAACAAATATCACATCACCACTTAACACACAACAAGAATAACAACAAATATAGCAATTGAACAACAAAAAAATTTCATCCTAACAACAAATCATCACGACAACACTCCCACAAAAGTAAATGAAACAATAAATAAACACATCCAAATAATACTAACACAACAATGAAAATGTACAAACTTTGCATATCATATCTCCAGTTTCACATTGAATTTAAGCTTCAAAAGATGCCAAGCAGCTTCTTTGGAGCAGTCCCTGTGGCACGGTATTTTGCAGCAGTTTCCTCTGCTTTGAGAAGACCTTCACCTCGTTTGGCTTCGATTATTGCCCTTTTCTCTTCGGCTGCCTTGTGAACGAGAGCAATCTTGTTTTTCATTATCTCGATATATTTTGCTTTCTTCATCTCCAGGTTCTCCTATAAGGTAATATAAGTAACTTTCATTAAACATATGCCCGAAAAATATCATAATATCAAATTAAATTTGTTACCTCGATCTTTTTTAGCTCGGCCTCTAGACTTGCTTTCTTGCTGTTCTCCCAAGCTTCAACAGCAGATACTTTCTTTTGAGCCCTGTAAATTATTAACAACTCGGAGTTTAGTCTAATTTTAGATTCTTATTTTACTAGGCATGAGTAGAACTTCATAAATCATAACCAATAATGTAACGATAAGTGTTAAAGTTAAATAACACTTTTTTCGGGTCCTAATTTCTTGAAAAATGATGACAAATTCGATAGAGGCCAGGAGGAACAAAGCATTATTCGACCAAGTGCTTACTTGTTTTCAGCTTTACACTTTTCACTTTCTTCCCATGCTTTGATTAGAGATAACCTCTTCTCTGTCGCAACACGAGCCAACACAGCATCTATGAAAAACAATGAAATGAAATGATTATTTTAGTATTTTTCATTTCAAATTGATACACAATCATTTCCAGTTGTGACAGAATCGAATACCTCTGTCAATAGAGCCCTCTGCTTTTTTCTCCTCAGCAGCTGCAGGTTCTTTTTTTTAAACAGAAAAGGAAAAAAAAAAAGTTCAAAAGTAAGGATAATCGGTAGCTTTTATCTTTATTTTTTTCTTTTTTTTTTCTTTTTTGTTGAGCAATTCAAAACTAGATGGAGGTAAAAGAACAAAATTCTTGTGCAAGTGGCTTTTGAAAGAAGTGAACTGCAGATCTTAAGATTCAATTTACAAATTTCACTTCAAGTTTTTCAGGGAGAATTATTTTTTTTTCTTCTTTGAGTTGTTTCATGAAATTAATTTAAGATTAACAAACTAGTTATAATTGATAACTGTTCCTACTAAGGTGGATTTAAATTTTACAAACCACACGAGCATAGTTGACAGAAGAAGAAAGCAAGCAACTGCAGCAAGATCCATTTTCAAATTTTAATTCAAACAACAAAACTCAAAAATGGAAACACGCACACACACACACACACACATAATTATATATATAACTGTACACATACAGACACAGACACATATATATAATTGAACACACAGATACAAACAGCGATGCTAAACTAAAGTTTTCACCAAAGAAGGGATCTTTGTTGCGCCCCACGAAATTATCACAAAGAAACAAGCAAAAACATAAACAAAATCGGAAAAACAGAAAAGATTTCCAATTCAAACAATAAAACCCAAAAAGAGGAACACCCATATACACATACAGAGTGATGCTAAAACTAAAGTTCTCACCCATGAATGGTTAATTTTTCGCCCCCACGAAATTATCAGACAAACAAAGNTCAGGAAAAAAAAAGAGAAGATTTTTTTTGAAAGAAGTATACTTACTTTCAACCACGACAAGGGCTTTGCACTCTTCAACTTTCTCCTCAGGGGGAGGCGGCAGAGTCACGGTCTTCTCCTCAGCCACGTCCTTCGGAGTCTCCACCGGCTCAGCCGCCGGCGCCGGCGCAGGCTCAGGCGCAGGTGGAGCTTCCGAGGAAGTCTCCGGCTGGGGCTCGGCCTTCTTGGCTTCCTCCTCTGCCATCACTTCAGAAAACTTAGCTATTTTTTCTTAAAAAAGAAGAAACTACGAAGAAGAAAAGCTTGGAGTGGAAAAATGGAAGAAGAAGAATGAAGAAAAAATCGAGGGGAATGGAGAAATAATTGATTGTATGGGGAGGTGAGAGAAAGTTGGTTGGGGAAGAAGGTGAAGTGTCGGGTGGGGAAGGACAAGGACAGTGGGAGGTGGGATGATTGGTACAGATAAATGGCTGATTTTGACCTATTATGAGGATGACGACGCCATTGCCCACTGGTTTTATAAAGCTTCTAAGCTTGCAATTGTGATATTATATTAGTTTGTATTAAATTAATATTTAAAATAAAATAATTAAAATTTAGATGATATAAAAGTATGACAAATGTGATTGGAAGTTACGGGTAATTAAAATTATGTGAGTGAATTAATAATGAATTGAAATTGATGTGATTTGTGAATATGACTAATGTATATTATTTAATTATATAGATAATATCGAGAAGAGTTGAATTGAGTTTAATTTGAATTGTGTTCGCCTATATTTTTAAAGCTCGACCGCAAGTGTACGGCTTCGCTCGTAGTATGTGGCAAGCAATGTCGTATCCCAAGAGACCAAATAATTAATATATCAAGTACCACATTATGATAGTGTCAACTTTATTTAGACGATCGAATATGAGATGGATTAGCTAAACTAAGAAAATAAGTCAAAGGAAATAAAGCAAAAATAAAGAACTAGCTAGAAAAACACGTAGAAAAATATATGAGAATGATAGATTATAAGACTTTGGTTTCAATTAAAAGTTGGGTTTCTTCAAATATATCACAACTAAATGTTTCTTGTATCCACCCTATAAGATGATCACAAATTTAGCTTATCGTCCCTCTCGAGATCGATAAAACTGTAAATTAAATCACATATATTAGCGTCTCCATTCAACACATGCAATTCAACTCCAAATAGATTAATAGATCTAATATCCTCACAACGACCTACTAACATCTCGATTCAAGCAAGTAAATTGCGTCAAATATTAAAGACCTAATATTGAACTCATCTCTCGAATTATGAACAATATTGTCAAACATGTAAAAGCATTGATCAAGTGTTAAACATGAAATAAGAGCAAAATATTTGAATATGATTCAAAAGAAAACAATCAATTATAAATAAATCATCCAAAATCCCAACATATTAATCTACTACCAAGTGTTAGAATCAAATAATCTACCCACTCATGTTCAAATTCAAATACATAGACATATTAGAAATCGACATGATAAATAAAAGTTCAAAAGGAATAAGAAAGAAAAACTAGGAATCTCGTCGATCTTTCAATCTTCTTGATCCCTTTGTAATTGGATCTTCTTTTGCTTCTCAATTACTTCTCTTGTGTGTTCTAGGGCTCCTCTATTGTGTCTCCCACGTTCTCCCCCTCAAAATAGGATGAATATGCCTTTTATAATGTCCCAAACTCTTCTCCTTTTCAAAATAAGTAAGATATAAAAAACAGCCTGCGCACGCGACACGTACAGTCTGCCCGTGTCACCGTTCGTGTCGCTGCCCGTGTCAGGTCCCTGGGCTTCGAATTCTCTCTGTTGAGGTGACACGACCTCTGACACGGGCATGATGCCCGTGTCACAAATATGCACTCTCATTTTTGTTCGTTTCGTTCGTTTATTCCATTTTTTTCATCCTTGCATCAATCTTTCATTATTCCGGGGGTCTTAGGTACTCACCATGCGCCTCCAATAGCCACAAACTCTACAAATATGTGAAAATATTTACAAAACAAGCACGTGTAATACATTTCCAACAAGATATAGAATTATAGCACAATAATGTAATTTATACACCAATAATGCAATGAATAAGCTCTAGATACTATATAAATATGGTATAAAATCACACATGAACAAATTGTGATTGGAATTGTTTGATAAACTTTTATATCCAAGCATGCATTATAACCACTTGCCTATTATGTGCATGTTCGAATACAAAAATTTTCACTCAAAGTAGATTTTTTTGGTTAAATATAGTAAATTTAGAAAAAGATGATATGATTAGTTGTTAGTGAGATTTTGAATTTATATTAAAATAATATTTAAAATAAAATAATTAAAGTTGATTTGATGTAAAAGTATAAGAGATAGATATGAAGTGATGATTAGTTAAAATTATGTGAGTGGATAAATAGTGAATTAAAATAGATGTGATGTGTAAGAATGATTGAATAATATTATTTAATTATATTAATAATATTGAGGATATTGGAGTTAAGTTAAAGTTGAGTTATATTTTGAGTTGAATTAAATTTTGATTGAAAATTTTTGTATCCGAAAGTGTGGCTCCAACTCTTAGCTTATACAACCGTTGGAGAGTGCTATGATTTGCAGTTTGGCACTTTATCTTTTAAAAGCCATTTTGGGTGCTGCTGTGTTGGGCAACATTTTTAAAAGTATATATGTCAGTAAGTATGCTGTTTTGAGCTGTGAGTGGAGTTTATTTTTATTCCAATTTTTAACTAATGTGTATTTCTCGTGGCGTAGCTTGACAGTGCTGGTTATGCTATTTATGGGATGGCTCTTCTGGAATTTACACCTATTTTTTAAAATATTTTTTGAAGAAAATTTTAAGAAATTCAATGCCTCAGTTTAATCAATAATTGTTTTTTAAGATAAAATTCAGTTCAATGAGAATACATTTTCTTCTAAAGAACAAAGAATAGAAAGTTGTAATTTTCTATTTGTGATCTGTTAGTCACGTTTCAATTGAGTCTATCTGTATTTTTTGGCAGCCCAAATCCAGTTAATTATATATAGATCGATTAGTACAGTTTAGGTAGGAGAAATGTAATAACTATAACTATTAAATATAATAACATAAATAGGTAACTTACAAGTTACTAATATTATGATAATTTATTCATAAAAATAATTTAGGAAAATAATTAGATTCATGATGGAATCCTCTCACAAATTGCTGTCATCATCAACAAGACACCCCAAAAATGCTGCCAACGAATGTGAGTTGTGTTTTCTCGGCTTTGACAACCTCTTCTCAACCACACATATTAGTGTTAAAATATGCTATATTCATTTCATGCATTCGATTAACTAATAATTATAAATTAATATGTGGAGTTAATATGTTACATAATTTATCGTATATCAATTGTAAACAATATAAAATTATCTTGTATAAAATAACATAAGAAAATATATGTTTAAAATATTAAAACACCTAAAATACTATATAACGTATGTAAAGTATCTAAAATTTTATATATCATTATTGAAAGATGTGAAGTCACCTAAAATTTTTCAAACTATTTTTGGTAAATGGTTATTCTTATTATATATACTAGTACGTAACCCGTGCGATGCACGGATGTAAAATTTGGAAGAATAATATAACCTCACGTGCATTAGGATCGAAATTGAAATCATTAAAATACATAGGAACATTGTTGAATCATAAAAAGTTCGTAACAATCATATATTATTAAAAACTTCCTTGTACACAACATTATGAGTTTGATTATTTGGTAACTCCTCACTATCACAAACTAATATTTTCAAAAGAGACAAATCCTAAAAATTAAACTAATATTTTTTGTGAACAAACTAATATTTTAGGATTGGTGAACAAACTAATATTTTAGGATTTCTAGGATTTGTCTCTTTTTGGTGAACAAACTAATATTTTAGGATTGATTATATGAATAAGGCTACCTATTTGGTGTTCTTTTCATTCATTTTCATTCAAACAATCCGATGACTTGTATAATGAAATCCGAATCTTAAGCCGAAATACTTAAAAAAAGAGTTTTTAAAAATTGAAAAGTCAAGGCAATCAATTCAGATTAATTAAAGGTCAAAGAATATCCGCTCCTTGAAATAAAGACGTGTGCTATCATTAACCAAATATCCGGTTATTGATATAGAGTGGTTCCAAAAATAGAACGCGATAAGGACGCTTCATGGAAATATCAATGGGATAAGGTCATAATAGATCGCTGTACATTTTAACGATAAAAGCTCAGATGAAATGATTTATGATAATTATGTCGTAATTAATAAATTAATTAGATATGTGAAAAAGACATAATTAATGAGAAGTGTGAAAAATGACATAATTAATGAGAAGTGTGAAAAGGACAAAAACTTACCGATTTTGAAAAATATTTAATGCAAATCCGACATTGACCATAATTTGACCTACTATTTTGGATAAATGTTAATTCTTATTATATAAGTATATATATATATATATATATAGATATAGATACAAATTTTCTGTAAGAATAATAGAATATTTCTAAAATGAAGTTGTGATTTTTCTTATGTCAATAGCCCATCTCCATTAAATGGTGGGGCTAACCAAACATAATAGATTTTAATGAATAATTGAGTGTAATCAATAGGCATTTCAAAGATTGTGAATATGGGTTTGAGATAGTAAAGAGATTACAAAGTGTCGGAAACAACAGGCTGGTTGCTGTTGGGCCCATGATGAGGCCAACGTATTGTTTTTGGTTGCTTTGTCGATTGAGAAATTACATTGTTTACCCTTTAAATTTCATTTTATTTATATATTTATAAAGATTTTTTAATTTTAATTATAATATACAAACTTTTACACTTTATGAATGATGATTTGTGGTTTATATCANTTTTATGAATGATTTATGTATGCTATCCCCTCCCCCTATATATTTATTTAGAACGTGTTGAGCTTAAGTTGCAGGTTCACGTGTTTCGAGATTTTATGTGGCAAAATTACATGCTTCGTTATTAGGTTTGGGTAGATTTTAATTTAATTTCAATCCAAAAATAATTAAGTCTGAATTATCTATAAATATATTGATTATTTATGGTCATGTTACACCTTACATGTATTAATTGTATTTTAATATCATTTCTTATTATAAAAATTGAATTGTAAATGTATTTTAAAAGTTACTAACTTTTGTACTTTTTATCAGTTTTACATATATAATGTATCAAATTAATCATCTCTTGATGAGTTTCGATTTAGCATCCATATTGTATGTATACAAAAAATAAATTAAATTTATCTTTATAATTATAATAAAATTGTTTTTTAATATAAATTAGAAAAATAAATTATTTATCAATTAATATATTTATATTTCAAATAATTATATGATATAAGTTATAAAAATTACTATAATATAACACATGTAAGTCGCACACGTAACAGTCTCATTCTAAAATATATAATAATATATATTTTTTGTCA